CTCTCATTTCCCATTCCTCTTTAGCCCCCACAACGCTTGGAAACCACTTTTATCTCTATGAATTTGACTATGCGCTTCCTGTAAGGTGAGGCATATAGCCTTTGCATCAAGCTTAGTTAGCGTATCCCAGAGTCTCCCAACTCACCCATGTAGTAGCGCATGTCGGGATTCTCTTCCCTTTTAAGCATAAATGATCTCCCTGTTGTGTTGAGAATAACACTGCTGTGAGCATGAGTGGCTAGTATTTTGTTGAGTCCCTGCTTTACATTCTTTTGGTATATGCCCAGGACTGAAGCTGCTGCATCATACGGTAATTCTGTTTTAAAGGTTTGTGGAACCACTCATTTTTTTAAATCAAGAAAACAGTGTGATGTTAATCAGTTCAAAGGGGAATGCAAAAAATACATATGTAAGCAAACTGGAGTGTTAAGGTGAATTTACAAACCAGTTATAAATTAGATCTTCTCTGTTGGGAAATAATTATGTTCCGCCGGGGCAAGCTCATTATTATTTCCGTGGACAAAAGATATAATTTAGAGTTGTAAAACATCCTGAAGCCCAGGATGAGCTTCAACATAGCAGCAACATGATTTTACATTTTCACCAACAATTCACCAATGATCTGTCAGCTCTATCTTTGTTTTAAGTAGATCTTCATGGAATCCTGTTTCTTTAAGTACTTTTCAAATGATTTTTGGCCTTTATTTTAATGCGAAAAAATGAAGATGGAAATGAAATTTTCCTCAGGTTTTGCTCAGGCATTTTCAGAAAGGATGGAGAAAAAAGAGGTACACATGTAATGGTTATGTCGGATGGTGGTAGCTTTACTTCGAGACACACCTGCACAAGCAGTATATAAATTGCTGCCCTGGTAGGAGTTGTTTGCCCTGATTATGTCTAGCTGCTTGACACCGATGATCTGACATTTCAAAAACTAATCACAGAGTGATACTCCCTAGGCAGCATGTGTGGGCTTCCACCATCTCTGTCTCCAATCAGGACCAAGAACTTGATAGCTAACATAATACCTGTAACTGATGCCCCCCTCTTTTTTTTTCTTTTTTCCTGAATTGTTGCCTAAGATTTGTGGATTGGTACCAACAAAGCTTTCTTACTTCTCTAGGAACAGGATGTTAAAATCTAAACAGCCCAGTAACAAAACCTGTAAGAATGTGAGTTTACAGGTCAACTCAGAGAAGTCCTTCCCTCCTCACCCAAACAACAGGGTTCGATAGTTCTCCTGAGACAGAAGACTGAAATGTCATCAAATTTAGAGAGGTAAATGCCTATTTTGATGTCTGCTTGAAAATAAATGAGAAACTGTTGTGAAATCTAGTCTAAGACTTCCTTTTTTAAAAAAAATGTATTTTAGTACAGGATCTACAGGGTCTCACTACACAAATTGGACTCCTACTGACCTTCCTGTTTTCAGTCTCCCAAGCACTGGGATTAGGGGCACATACCACACCCTCAGTCTCAATTGCTGTCTCAGCATGCAGGGCCCACTGGGGATTAAACCCTGGTCCCTCTGCCTGCCTAATAAGCAGGCACTAGTCTAAGACTTTCTGAGACTCAGTTTTACAAGCTACTGCTGTCACAGGGCAAGGCAAGGAACACTTCCAGGGAAAGGGACACACAATACAGGGATGTCGTTGTCAATGTACACAGAACCTATTTAGTAAAGGGATATTGTCACTTCTTCATTTGAATCTAGTGCTGTTTGTGGGACAAATTCTAAAAATTGCTCTTTTTAATCTCTTATTTGCATAGGGAAAAACCAATCAAAAGATTCTATTTCTGATCCTTCATTTATGGATGGCAGGGAGCCAGGGGAGCTTTCCTATAGGACAGTTTACTTGTGGTAGTGTAAATCCAAGTGAATGTTGGACAAGACCTCTGTCCCAATGCCTTATTTGCAGGAGAGGGAGATAACAAGGGGATTTGGGGTACAAAAGAGCCCCTTCCCCTCATTCTCGGGCTACTGTGAGTCCTTTCACCAGCCCACTGTCACTGCAGAATGTACCTCTTTTCCACCTTCAATAGATGTGCACTTTCACTGCCTTTTCTGTGTGTTTTGTTTCATTCTTCGGGACATCAAGAACTTAGAAGCCCCACAGGGGGACTCTTCATATGGTGACTCCGTCACCAGAGAGAGTCCTACGAGGTGTCCCAATGGGGATCTTAACTCCCTCCTCCTCATGCTATAACATAAGGAAAAGAAATTTTCTTCCTCATATTTCTGACTCACTGTGTTCTTTTGTATGCCTAGGTCTTTCATGTATCCTCCTCATTTTCTTGGGCCCTGTCTCCCTCTTAACCTCTGTTGCCAATTAGCACAGTTCCTTGCTTTTGATAGTAATGGAAATGAATACCAAAGCACAAATTTACACATTGACATTCCTTAGTTGGAAGGATGGAGGGAAGATAGTAAGGGACTCCCAATTAGGTAGGTGGAGGATAGGTGGGCACTTTGCTACATGGGTTCAAACTGCTTTACTCACAAAATCAAGAGGCCACCTTTTAAGCGTTAGCTGGTGGGCGGGGTCAGATTGATCATGATTTCAGTCCTGTTGTCATGGTTATGGAATCTTTATGGCTGAGGAAGGGTTTTTATTTCCAGGACAGGACTGTTTCTGTTTGTGATGGTCTCAGTGTGTGGGGTTCCGCCCTTCCTGCAATTTAGGTGATTGCAGGTTTGGGGACAATGGCTGCACGTTTATAGGTATAGCTGATTGTCCCAGGAAATCTGCCATCCTGCTGTTTTCAGTCTTGAATGGAGGTCAGAATATGCAAATGCAGGGTTAATCAGTCGTGTCTTGCCAACTTTTAGACACACCACAAATGACCATATACAGAGCTAAGAAGAGATTTGACCCAAGACTTATAATAAGAAAAGATACAAAATGAAGGTCAAACTTTGTTCTTTCAGTTA